GGAAATACGTTTAGCAGTATAAGTCTCATTTCAAAAGGCCACTTCGACTTGGGATCCTCCCTTTGTTGAACAGTTTTTTTCCTAATTCTAGAATCCTCCAGAAAACTGAAACAATGAAACTTCTAGAAAGATGGTGAACCATCAGTCAGCAAAATGGAGTGTACATTGTGTAATAAAGGAAATGAATAAATAAATACAAATGAATTCGTTATTTGAAAAATCTCTACTTACCGCAAAAATCGGCGGAAACTTTCCCAACGAGCAACCCAATATTTTCAGAGGAACCCATGCATTGTTGTTATTGTTGAACTACTGCGTTATTGAAGATAAAATGTTTTTTTCTGTTTCTTCTACTACTAGAGGTTCATTTTCCGTACGTCATAAGGCGATCTACATGCTTCGTTAATTATAATAAAAATGTACCAACAATTGCAGCCGTGATAGATACACCAAAGATTTTTTGTTCCATCTTTCGAGTTACACAACGTCACTATTATGGCACGCCTACTAGTTAAAAACTTGTCGTCGTTTGATTCCTTCGCTTGAAAAAAAAATCATAAATTAGAAAGGTATCCTTCTTACAAGTTAAAAGTGGAAATGTTGATGGACAACCGTGCATCAATGCCGAAGAATGCAAGAAATCCGCAGGCAGAGTCCGTGTAATAGATGGCTTCCTGATATTAGGTACTTATCAGAGTTTTACTAATTTGCTACCACGAAGCCAAGGTGTCTGGGCGCAATTCAAGACGTAAAGAGCTGGTTACAGCGAGCCAGAAGTACCAACAATTTCCTCACTTCTTCGCTATGGGTAACGACGAGTGGTTTGAATTTTCAACAAGTTTTTTGCCTTATTCTAAATGGGGTGAGCTATACAACACCGTCGAAACGCAATCCGTCTTTAAACGTGGCTCTGACCCATTGTTGCACCCATCTCAGCAGTCTTCAAACCCTACGGCCCCCATCTGGCATACTCTGACATGCAAGCCCCTCCTATGTAGCTGGAAATCTCGGAAATCATTTTTATCGTAAACTATGGCTTTGAAGGCAACGGTGGCAGAAAGTAATGGCATCATTATCTGTTGCACACTGCTAGCATAAAGAAGCTAAAATCACAAAAGGGATTACAAGATATGAGTCAGGTTGAGAAGGCGCTGTCATCAGCTAATTACTAATTTATGTGGAACGAGCTATTCGAGTGCGTAGTTGCAGCTTGGGTGGGGCATATTGGAGGTGCCAGTTTTAATTCATGAATGGCTTTAGAAAAAGACAAGGGATAGCATGTATTTGTTCTTCGCTACCTCAAGGGGCCAGAGTTAGTGTGACGGTGAAAAAATGAACAGAACTCGACCGTTGTTAAGTGAGTTAGGCGATAGAGCGTAGTAAAAAAGCATCCATAATCAGTAGAACTCTGGTATTGTTCACAAATTCAGCGGTTGTTATTTATGGGAGTAATCGTCTATAGCCCTTATCTCTAGGGTGAACAAAATAAAAGTAAGGTTTTCGGATAGCGAGGAAATTTTTGCGGTGTTCCTGAACCATACTCCTTCGTGTTCAGAGGGCTGTGAATGGAGGCGTTCGTGCACAGCAGAGTAACATAGTGCTTGTTTTCATTGTAGACCTTGTAAGGGACGGCAGTGCATGCTGCACTGCAGGCTTCGAACTGCTCATTCCACTTCTTTCACTGCCTCAAAGACAAGCAACTTATGCTAATCGTAATTATAAATAACCCTTTGACGACAATGACACTCACCGGTGGGTTAATTATAATTGCGCATGGGACCATGGCACTCAATTTTGTTTGCTACCATACTTTCTTGTTTCTTACCAATTGCTGAGTTCAGTAAGCCAGTGGAAGAATTTTCTCCCGGAACAGTGTCTTTCACGGGTGGGTGCCACTCGCGCGCAAAAGAATGGGAGCGTGATCCCATGGGCGCGTCACGTCGAAATTCGCATTGTTGTCAAAAGGTTAATGGCGATATTTTCCACAAACAAATCCTTCATAGCGGCTCCACAGATCATTTCCTTGTGCGAGTAAAATTATGTCATTGAATTATGGGAAAGTGAGAACAGCGAGATGCCTCCGAACTGTCTACGACCCAAAACAGAGGAAACATTGCACATTCTTCAACGCCAATAGACCCCCTCAGTCTCGCAGTACTAATGTGCAGCGTTTCATATTTAGCATTTTCGTATGGCAGAGATCATTTGAAAACATGACAACGATTGGCGCGAAAAAACACAGCAAAAAGCGCACAAGACTGTGTACATTCCAATTCACGTACAGTAGCGCTCAAAAGTCTTCGGTGGAATGTTTTGACGCTTTTCCGTTCATAACTTTTTTCCTAGTAGACCAAATCGCGCGAAATTAGGGTATGTTTAACTAGAGCATATTTCACCCTACCCAGCACTATTTGACTGCAAAGCTGCAATATCCATAGATAGAGCAAGGTGCTTGTTGCGGTAGCAGATTTTGCTAAAACTAAAGTTGTTGACGTCTGCATCTATTCGCACCTTATGTGCGTTTTCTCATCTATCATGTTCGACGTTACCGCTCGTACACTTTAGACAGTCAAAAAGGCAAGAGATTCTAGAAGGACCATCATCTGTGTTTTCAGTCGATTTTGAGTTCATGCTCTTCGGAATATCTGGAACATGGTGAGATTCAGGTAATAGTGGTAAATATTCACAATATACCCACGCTCCAAATATAGAAATTTCGCATGATTAGATTCAGTAGGAAAGGAATTACGACTGAAAAGTATGAAGAATCATTTCACCGAAGACTTTTGAGCGCTACTGTATATGCCTAGCTGGGGAGCATTTGCCTTTACTGGAATTCAACGATTACTCTCTCTACAGGGTCAGAGATAACAACCATCAGGTGGAGATGAAACATACTGAACGATGCAACGTGTGTTCTTAGCTTGCAAGGCTTTGTATTCATATATTATTTATTCCACGTTAAAAAAAAGAGCAGTGTTATGGTTGAGGCACATACGATAACGATATTAAACTTGGAATTTGCTTGTTCAAACGGCGTCGTCCTTTTCCACAGCGAACGGTGTACTAACCGTTTCGTGACCGGCAGCTGCGATGATCACGTCATCTTTGGGTTTATCATTAGCACCCTTTGGTACGGTCTCTATGGCTCGTACCACATCCATTCCTTGCAGCACCTGGAGAATATCAGTTCGGATCGCTTACAGTATCCTTCCAAAATGTATTCAAAATTTTCAAGTGTGCTATAGTACAGTAAGGTTAGTTATTTGATAGGATACAAAGCTTGCGTGGTCGGAACGCTCTTGCCCGGGGATCCTTGCCTTTATGTGATAAAACCCTTAAGAACTGAATTAACCGAGAAGGATAATAGGTCGCAGTAGCCATTGAAGGTGTAAATCGTCGTAGATGATTTCAAACGCTGATTTCGAATCTGCTTTTCAGATCTGATTTCAAACGCTGATTTCGAATCTGCTTTTCAGATCTCCGATTCTGGAAATAAAATTACAAAACCGTTTTCATCCTTCCTTATACCGTTGTAACAAACAGATAAACAAGCTGGGCAATCACTGAAATGGTGGCGCAGTTGGTAAGGCGGTGGGCTCAGGAGCACCACTCGAAGGTTCAATTCTTGATGCTTGTCCTTGTCTTGCTTTTCATAAGGCCTAAACGCTTGCTTAACATTTTTTGCTTCATACTGACGATCTGCGGCCCCCACCACATTCAAGAGACTTGGTATATGGTAATCCTAGAAATTTTCACATTCGAGGAGATGTTATGATATTTTCGCTTACACGCGCTTTTGGCAGAGAGGTAGTCGAATGACTCATTTTACCAAAGAATTGTCGAGAAATCTTTACTTGAAGCAAACGTTGTGATACAGTGGGACACAATACCACGGCTCAACTCAGAACCATGGACTCACCTACGGCCTGTCTTCACGTTGTACTCTATGCCTTCCTCATAGATTTTCAGCGCCATTCAGTTGAAATTGCTATTGAACAATGAGATTCATACACTCATTGTAGAATACCTGCTTATTTCAACTCTCCGCTAATCTCCAAAACTCGACTGATCGATCCGTTCATTTTGCACCTAGCAGTCACAACCACTAGAGACATCATTAATTGTCTTCCTACTTCTACTATCCACTTCTCCTGAGCTTTCGTAGATGACATACGGTGGTTATCAAACAAAACTTGTTGTTCGTACACACACTTTTTGGTACTCGAACACTAGAAGGTTTCGTACTCTTCTACCTCTACCACGAAAATAAAGCTTATGAGCGACATCACAGAGTCTGAGGCTAACTGCTACTCCCAACCAAATGGATGACACCGCTTTCGGTCAAAACAATTCACTAGTAAAACTTTGAGGAGCTCTTGATCCGATGACTTTACTCCCCATGGCTCTAAAAGCCCATTTTAAGCGAGTTTTCACAATTTCTTTGCTCGAACTGAGCCGAACACAATCGGTGAGGGTAAAACGGAAATGCTCCCCACTGTTCCTTGAATGTGAGGAACACGGACAATATAAAGCAATCGTTTTAGACACGTTCCACAAAAAAGTAATGCGAGCGCACGCATCAATTGGAACCTTCAAGTCATGCCATCAGCGTAGCAACTTACTGACTGCGCCACCATGTACAGCAGAGTTCCTGCCCGGTTGCATCTGTTTGAGACAAGGTTAACCAGGTTGAAAACCGTTCCGTAACTTTGTTTTCACAATCGTTTTGCAGATTTGAGACCAGCACTCGAAAAACTTACGGCAGCCTACACCTCACCTCGTTTGGTCCCAGTGACTTTGCGTCCTTCCCTTATAAAACAGCTGATTTCCAAAAATTTGAATTTGAGTTTGCTTTCCTTCAGAAATACAGTACATTTCGAGGTTCTCCCTGTTTCGGAAAGCAATAAGTCCTACTTCCCTTTCTTTCCTATTTACTTGACTGGTACTAAATGGGTCTGTAGGGATGAGAAAACTGGCATGATTGACTAGGCTCCTCTTTGAATCTTGTCCTCTTGACTCTTTGACTAGGCACACAACCCCACGGCAAGTTCGAAAGAAACCAGAATGCATAGCGCACCTAAAAACGGTGCAAGCGAACCTGTTCCTTTTTCCCAGAAATTTACTTTTATTTTCTTTTCTAAAGATTTGGTGTAGTAAAATTTCTCACCTTTCCAAAAACAACGTGCCTACCATCCAGCCAAGAGGTTTTCTTCACAGTTATGAAAAACTGGCTGCCATTTGTGTCTTTTCCAGAGTTTGCCATCGAAACCCAACCGGCTCCATAATGTTTCAGTTTGAAGTTTTCATCCGGGAATTTTTCTCCGTAAATGGATCTGGGAAGTTTACTATGAAAATAAATTCAAACTAAATAAATGTTGGTAAGCACAACACGAACACACTTTCCACCTGTTCCATCACCATTTGTGAAATCCCCGCCTTGAATCATAAACTCGGAAATAACACGGTGGAACTTACTACCAACATAACCTTCGCCCTAAAATGCATCAAATGAGGACCATAAGTCGTGATCCCGGATAGGACTGGACCACTTCAAATACACCTTCGGTTTCTTGGCCAATTCAATAAAGTTCGTCGCAGTTTTCGGTACTGTTTTGCCAAATAAGCCTATTACAATTCTTCCCATTTGCTGCCCATTTGATTCGATATCAAACCAAACCTGAAAAAAGCGTTTTTGTAATATTGATTGCACATTGCAAACAAGTACAATGATCCTATGCTCATCTCTTCTGAGCAGAGATGGGAGAGACTAGACAGTTGACAGTAAAAGAGTGCCAAGTTTCCAGTGGGGTCAAAGCATGCCTTTTTACCCAGGCCTGTTCGGGAGAGATGAACGTAAGGGGGACAATAATGAAAACAATGCACCTTGTCCGTAACTTTTGGTCCTTTCGGTTTATTCGTACTCGTCTCTGTGCCAACAGCGAAGGTAGTGTAAGCCAGTAGCCACAACAGCTGGTTCATTTCTACATGAAAAAGCACTCTATGCACCAAATATCACATTTCTGTAACGCTCACACACGAATGGGGTAGAAGTGGCTTGCAAGGTTACAAGTTCCATATAGTGACCTATGTTATCAGTACTGCTAAAAGTATTAACCTATGCCTAATGAGTTATTGAAGTCAAATATGTAGCGCAGAGATTAGACCACTCTAGGCTTCGCAATAAAAGGACTGGGCGCATCCATACCACGTACGGGTACTAGTGCTTTCCAGGCGGGCACCCCCAACCTAGTATGACTGCGCCCACTATATAGTAATGTTGAGTATTGTCGTTATGATACCTTTGAATTGCAGACCTTAAGATAAATCTCACTTAAATTAGTCGCCAATCAAAGTTTGTCTCCAAGCCTAATACCCACGGAAGGTACGTATTAAGAAAGTTGTAGAAACACTGTTTCGTACACCCTGCTACGCTTTCACTCTCGTTTACGTAACACGTTTACAACGATGAGCCTTGAAACCTGTAAAGATGTAAAAGTATGTAGATTAAAGAAGTTGTTCTTCAATCTAGATTTAATGACTTAGAGAAGGCCACTCGAGATTGAATGGAATTCAGAAAAAGTTTGAATAAAATGCAAAGAAGTAGTCGGTAACAAGTAGTACGCAGAGATGCAGCCTCCATACTAATTTTAGAAAGGCATACCACAAGGGATCGTAACGTTCTCGAGGTACTCGCTCTCTATTTTTCGACAATTAAGAACGTCCAAAGGGATAGAAAATACACAATATCGCCGTAAGTGTATCTCATACAAAAGCGTGGCGTATATCGCCACCCGATCGTGCGCACTGTATTGGTACGATTAGAATTTCTTGTTGAGTGAGGGTATGTCCATAGGTACATTCTTGATTCCTTCGCACCTCACTTCCCTTCCATACCCTTTCACCTAGGGGTGACCTTGCTTAACTTATTGGTTGTTGTCCCGTCTACCAGACTAGGCTCAGATGTAAATATTTATATCAACTGTATTAATGAGAAAACTTTTCTATAATTTGAAATAAAGTTAAAGCAAAACAAGAAATAAAAATGGTGAACATAAAATATGCTCAACGCCTGAGCACATTGATTGAATTGTACTACTATGAACCACAATGCCTCCCCCGGCTTCAAAACAGCATTAGCTGCTTTTGCTGCTCCTCTCTATTCCTGCAAATCTCTGTATTCAGCTAGCCCACCACAAAACACGACGTCACGACCGTGCACCTACACCCTTCCAGCGGTAGCTCTAAATTACTTTTACTTATGCTCAGCACCCAAGGAATAGAACAATACCACAAAAAATGTCTAGGTGCGTCATTAGTACGGCCTTATAAGTTTTGATGCACTATAGCGACCTTATATTTTTACGTTTTGTTCTTGATATTGTTAATTTTGTTTCAATCTCGAGGCAGAAGCAAAATTAACAATATCAAGAACAACTGAAATGCCGAGGTTCCACGATGAGAGGACTTGGAATTTACATTTTGTTTTGTTATTTTGAAATGTGTAATAGTGATAATAATATTAGGATGGGAAAAGTCTCGCACGTTTAGCAATTCTCTTCTATTGGGTTGTCCTAAAAGTTTCCGCCGATTTTTGATTCATCTTTGAATGAAAATTCTAGAAGGAGAAATCCATTGATTGAACAATATATCCTCCATTCTGTTGAGTAGGGATTCGCCATCTTTTTGTAGGTTCCAATTCCCCTCTTCTCTAAAAGGTTCCAGAGTTAAAATCGAAAAACCCTCTCAGGTGCTTTTTGCAGTCCTCCAGCGGATTGAACGATTTCCATTCAAAGAATTTTGCAGAAACCTAAACAAGTGGTATTCTGATGGAGCTATGTCTGGACTATATGGGGGGTGTGGTAAGTCATCCCACCCAAGCTTTAGCAACTTTTGACGAGTGGCCAAGAATACGTGTGGTCTGAGGGTACCCTGTTAGAAGATTACGCCGTCACGATTGCCACTTCGGGTCGCTTTTGGTCTATCGCTGTCTCCATATTTTCTAGCTAACTATAGTACCTTTACGAAGTCATCGTTTGATTGTGCGAAAACAGCTCATGGTAAGCGATTTCCCTGGGATCCCATCAGCAACTCGGCATAGTATTCCGCGTCTAGATTTTGACTTTTGCAGCGGTTTGTGACGGCTCACTAGGGGGCTCCACGATCGCTTCCGCTTCTCATTGCTGTACACAATCCGATTTCCGTACCTCGTGCTCATGCGTTTCAGAAACGGCTCATTTTTATTTCGCTCGAGCAATGAGTCGCACACCGAGGCGCGGTCATCGCATTGCGCCCGCTCATTTCGCGAGATATCTAAACATCAAGGCGTTTTACAAAACCAAGTGTCTGCAGATGACCATGAATGGTTAATTTCGAAACACTAAGCCCTTGTCCTACTCCACGAGTAGTTATGTGCTGATTCGCTTTATTCACATTTTGATTTGGTCGTTTTAACTGATTATAGTCTCCTTGAAGGTTGCCGGTCTTCGATGACAAATTCACTCTGATTGGATTTCGCAAACTAGCCATGCATTGTACGTTCCTCTAGAGCATGGTCTACTCAAACGTCATATATCTTTTATGCAGCTTGAGCCGCATTCTAGGCCTTGCGGTAGAATAAATACTCCAGATGCCGAAAATGCGTGCAGTGGTTCTCCATTTTCATAAGAGTCCTGTACAGAAAAACTCCGACAAATGTTGACGGAGTTCCAACGGGAATATAGAGGAGGAACCACACTTTTAGAATACATATAACTTTATGAGATTGGGTCCTTCATCTTTTGTGCAACAGTTGATAAATCCGGGGCGTCGAAAATCGGCGGGAACTTTCCGGACAACCCAATAGTTTACCAGTCGGATCGCTCGTCTAATTTCGAAGTTTGAAATTCCACCCATCTTATGACAAAGTTCTACTAATTTGCTAAATCGCCACTCCTTACAATTAGAAACAAATGATTCCTTTCTGTTTACAAAATGTGACACAGGACTAACAGAGTAGCGCAAGTGGTACACATTGTGTGCCGATGATTAGAAGTCTCGATCTGTTCTTTTTATTTTAAAAGTAATCACCAATTACAGATTCGACTGTCAGGCAACTAAAGCTTGAATGGCACTCACAAGTTATGCCGAATGAATAACTCCATCATTAGCACTACGGATTTATCATTAGTTAAGAATCGCAGATAAGTTTCGGATAAGTTTTGTCGCAAATGATTTCGAAACGAAGGTAAACCGTATCCTTAATTGATTCATAAACCTTGCACGGTAACGTCCTAAACTAGCAAAAAGAAATAAGTCGATTTTTTCTCTCCTCATAATGAGGCGCCTTCAACCGGTCCATATCACTGCCCTTACCACTCACTTTAGTCATCCTGCTCTACCATTTCGTCTTATCGAATGAAACATACTGAATGGTTAAGGCTACATCGTAAATACTGAAGGGTTAGAATTCCAATCGGTAGGTGGCGCTCGCACTCTTAGGCCTCTTATCTTCTTTTATCACTTATTATCAGTTCCTGTCATTAAGTACCTAAGACCCGTCATATCCTACATCACTTATTAGAATGCCGAAGTTCCATTGTTAGTACAAAAGCTGCCAAGTTTCAACGCTCTAGGTCCACGTAAACCGAAGATATGAATTTGCAGATGAAAATTCCCACCGCGCACGCCCTACCTCCTGTGGGCGGAGTCTGGCCTGCTAATACATACACACACAAACGCACCGACAAACCAACAGACACATTTAGCGAATTGTATATCGCTTTTATATAAAGCAGCAACTTGGTGTCGGTTTGTCGGTCTGTCCGTCCACAAAAAGTTATGATTACAATAAATATTGATATGGAAACGCAGCCCTCACTTTTCCTTTTCCTTCTTATTCATGAAGCAGTAACTTGGGGTGTCGGTTTGTCGGTTTGTTGTCTGTCCGTCCGAGAAATTTATGGTTACGATAAAGGCAGTGACATGGAAAACCTAGCACTATTCTACACTTCCTTCTTTATGTATATGAAGCAGTGAATTGGTGGGTA